CTGTGGGTCCAGAGGGAGCCATCTAACTAAGAGCACCTGGAGTTATTGGCAGCAGATTATGCCCTGTGTTATTGTTGAGGGCTTTGGTGGGAGTAATGAAACACTGAGCTAAATCACTGGTGATTTTGACTCTCTTGCATTCTACAAGGAGTTAAGTAAATCACTATAAACCCCACACTGTATATGATAGGCTGCACACTGTGTGGACTTTATTCCAGGCTTCTTTAGATGGAGAAATAAAAGTTAGATGATCTGTCACACTACGTGTTTGCCTCCCACAGCTCTTTCTACAATGCCAAATGAACTTTACATGTAGTATCAACAAAATCAATGGTCAAACAATCTGGGACAGTTGGTTGTGTATTGATGGAATTAAAGCGTCTGTATGATGTGGATTTTTGTTTATCTGGGTCTATTCTGTTTTGCTCCAACAGCGTACACATCTCCGTCCAGCATCAACACTCTTTTTCAACCACACAACACAATGCAAAAACTGTAATGAATATAATATTGTTGAGCATGGTTTTGCACTGCAATTGTCACAACTGTGATAAATACACTTAGAATAAGGAATAAGAAAATAATCAACTTATAATCTTCTTCTTTAGTTAAACATGAAATTATTTAACCATGGATTGCATTTCAGCCGCAAAATGATTGACAATATCTCAATAGCAAACACATGCACTCAGCCAGACATTTTCAAAAGGACCATTATAAAAATGGGGGTTGGCTGTTCATTCTGAAATGGCTGAATCGTTGCCAGGCCTCTTTCGCACATTTGACAACTTACATAATGCATTTCCACTAAAATAGCTTAAGTGTTCAAGCTTCTTTTATGGACAAAAATTGATTCATAAATGCATTGAGGCGAAAGCTAACATGAACACAAAGCTTTCAATAACACCCATTTTATTCAGACTGTCAATGTAAGAAGCGGTTGCATTAGACAAGGTGGCATGCTGATTGCTTTATGAAATCCAGGCTAATTGTTTTGTGGTGCAGTCCTTGGGGCACCCTGCATTAAGACAGGCCCAATGAAGTCAAATAAATATAGCTCTTTGCCCCCCTCCCTACCTCGATAAACACACACACAAAGCGCAGAGAGGCTCTCTCAGCCTTGTGTGGCATTGAAAGTCGCTCTCCAGTGGCCACTTTGTTGATCAATGAAAGAGAATTTATATAGTGGTGGATATTGGCAATATTTCATGACATAAGTCACTTTGAATTGCACCCTGTGCCCTGAGATACATATGATTATTTCACTTACATTGACAATTGTTTCCACTGTTAGTATTCATGTCACCGTCAGCATGCGTTGGACTCAAGATGTGTTTAATTTAATTAAACTGATTGTCTTTCCTGAAGTCAAGGCTGTGAAAAACACACTGAATGTGTGTATATTTTAGGGCTAAAGAGTGGTTTTGTATGGATCCGAATGGATATGTGATTTAAGGACACTTGTGTTGTTAAAGAAGCAATTCAATTGCTCAGAAATTCAAAAAAAGAGATAAAGCCTGAACGTCCTTGATAAATGTAAAGCTATGTTGAATGTGCGTCGCCTGTTCTTTCATCCATTTGGCCCGAGCTTTCATCTCTCCTCACATCAATACGTCCATTCATTCCATTTTATTCATCGTGTGACCTGCGTATAATCACGGCATCAAAGGGGTTTCTTCTTTCTAAAGGTCCGATCAAGATATTTTCTCTGCCCCCCATCTACAGTGCTAATATTCATCTGTAAATCCACTTAAGAGTGATTCACATTAGATAGGTAGATTTTCAAAGAAAGGTAAAGCAAAACAAGTACAAAGACTCAAGTAATAAAAAAAAGAATTGAAGATTTACTCCCTGGGTATTTCCCGTCAGCCATTTAATTTAGTTAAAGAAATTACACAAATCCTTTGGGTGAAGATGTGCATGTGTATTTATTTATTATTGATTTTTTCCCCTGCGATAAACGTGTTAACGTTACAGATATTTGCAAGGGGGATGAAGCTTTCTAAGTTATTGTGAAATGCTGCAATAAAAAGCATAAAGAAATCGTTATTCAGTAAGTCTCCCCACTGTGTTGATCAGATAAAATACATTATTCACGACCAATATCTTAACTACAGTCATGAGCCATACTGTTTGAAGCTGTGAAGTCTTTCATTGTAGTTTGGAATCTTAAATTAGCTAATTGGCTTTGTCATGATGATAATTTGATAATCCACTGTCATAAAAGTTGCTCAGTAGCACTTCTGCCTTTATTATAATAATCACAGTGTTGCAGCTGAATTCATTTGAGATGGTTGAAAAGTTTTTTGATGCTACAACTAAAAAACTGAAGGAAAGAAATTAATTTGATAAGGACTGAAGTGAGAATTATCTGATGAGAGACAATACCTCCAATCAAGTCCAGTAAAATAATGTGTGGCCCCATAATAAATGTGAAATTATACAGTAGATTATAATGCTATTGTACTTTATCTGTAGCTTTATATCGACTCAGCCGCAAAGTCGTCCCTGTATGTTCAGATTGATCTTAATTCCACAAACTGAGTGCACAGGGTGGGGCTGTGCACAGCATGATCCATAATGGGTGAAATAATTGGTGAAAAGAGACTGGCTTGTCAAAATATTCATTGCGTTGAGCGGCTGATAAGCGAGAGGATGTGGACCTTCATCGAGGAGCAGGGCCAGCCAGCCAGAGGTAGAAACCAGCTAGAAAAGCAGGCTCCCCCTTGGGCTTTCACATCAACCATCAAATGCTTGAGGTTCATTTGTTAGGTCATGCCATTCACCAATTATTTGGATTTTATGTAAAGATGAAATGATTTTACTTGGCGGAGGCGAGTTTAAAATGTAATACATAAATATACTTGACAGGCAATGAGATCTTGCTGCTGAGGCTACTCAATAGTGCTCTTTGTATGAAGCTTTTATAACAGGGCTAGAAAACCACTGCATGCCTTGTATGTTTCACAAAAAGAAAAAAAAAATACATTTAAATCAGATTTCTATTCTTAATTTAAAAGCTGAGATATTCCATTTAAGAAAATGTATCTTCTAGTTGAAAAGTGATTACATCTTTTACATTTATTGCCAACATTGTGTAGTTATTGAAGTTGTGTGGCCTTTAAACACATTTCCACGCGGTTAGCTTTACTTCCTCTTCAAAATCCTCTTTATTCAAGGTTAACGCTAATTCATGAAGGAGACAGTACATTTAAAAAGATGTTTATGAAGCTTTTGTGAGAGGTTTGTATCACACATAAAAAGCAGCCTTGTGCTTATTCCATTACAGATGGCATGTCACCTTTTTATAAAATGATCATTGTGATGTTTTCAAAATAAGTTGATTTTTCGATTTATTGGCCTTAAATTGGCTGAGTGACTACAATGACTTTGAGTCATCTCCAGTTGAACCAGGCGTTTAAAGCCAAAATAAGAAGAAATAGAAGCATTAAAGTGTTTTTGGTGGTAACAGAAAAATAAAGCTTGATTCACCACATTGTTGCAGTTCCTCAGTTCAATGATCTGTATATTTACTCAAGATGACACTGTGATTCAGCAAAAATCATGAAAATCTGTTGAAATATTTGCGAATAAATAAGTAAACACAAAAAACACACTGATTCAGTTCACTTCAACGGGACTGTGTGGATGTTGTTTGTCCAGATTTTATTCCATTGGCTTTGCAACACAAGCGATCCAACCACTGATCTGATTGGTTCATGGACGTACATTACAAGACTTCCAGGCGCGGGTGCATGTTAGTGCATGTGAGTCATCTTCACATCACAGTGCTGTTGAACGAGAAACACATGCAGCTACACCTTTATTTTGTAGATGCTATGGGCTGCACAGTTATGGATGCTAGCCATGCTAACTAGCAGATAGCCGCCATGGTTGCAAGAGTGAGTGCATCCGCGAAATACAATTTACAGGAACACAAACTGCGAATGAGTTTGCGTCAGATCCATTTTACATATTTTGAAGCATGTAACCATTTCAACTGTTTTTTCAACTCTTTTATTTGAAGTCGTAGAAATAGATGCATCTTTGCTTTGTGTCAATTTGTTATTGAGTGTACTGGACAAATAATTTCAATCAAAATTCGAGCGATAAAAATCAACTTCAGGTTTACTGTAGTAGTTTTTTCACAAGGCTATTTTTCAGGTTCAAGCTTTCATACATTTTTGCTTTACTAATATTTATGTGCTCTACATACAAATAAGTAGAAAATAATAGTCCATCTTTTAAGAAATCTGAAAGTATATTTTTTTCTTTTGTACAGTAATTTGGGAAAAGACACCCAAGTCTCATTTCCTTTTTTTGACTATTCTTTCTGCAAGATTGACTAAACTTTGCACTGCCCAATTCTTTGTGTCAACAGTGAGGCACCATGAGCTCTTAATATCATTAAGGTCAAAGGGTGAGGGTCAAAACAGCCTCTTGGACCTTTTAGAGCAGCCCAGACTGAGCACTGCTGAGAGATTTGGTGAGATGATATCCAAGCGTTGGTGTCCTTTATTTTCCCTGCAGCCATCAGCAAGCTTATTATCATGTCCCTGTCTGCTTTGCTCCACTCTGCCCTCATAGCAAACAGGTCTAATTGTGTCTCGTAGCTGCAGGCTCAGAACAGAGGGGGGTTGGAGTGGGTTTAGATGAGTGATACTCAGTGATGTAAATGGCTGAATAATATGGCCCTGCGTTTGTGGTGGAGCTCTGTCTCTCAGCAGTAATCTAAGCCATCGGGGACGCGCCAGTATGCATCATCTCCCATCAATGAGCCTCTCCACTGGTTGGTAATTTGTTCTGTTCTGCAGCAGTTATTGATAAAACACTTAAATACAAATTCCCCTCTCAACCGCGTACAGCACTTTATTGTAATATCACAGCATGGACGGTATTGTGGGTTTATTTACTTACACTGGCTGTGTTGATCTAAGGTCTAATCTTTTATTTCTCCTTTTTTTTCTGCTTTTCAACGTGGATCTCTGTTGCTCTCTCAGGAGTTCGCGACGGCTCGGTCCAGTCTGATGCAAGCAGCAGTCCGTCAGAGCAGAGTCAGCTAGGCCAGTCTCATCCGGGATACCCAATGGGTCCACAGGTGAGTGAGACGATACACTGAACTCAAACTTTCCACACTATGTATGTATGATCAGTGCTAATGTTTGATTAACCTTTTTTAATTTAATTCTCAACACTGACATTGGAATTAATGTCTTCACAACTCATACTACTCTTTTTCTTACATGATCATTTCTGCACAAAAAATCAGCAGTCAGAGTAATTCAAAAGATCAATGACCAACTCAGATCTCTTAATCGTGTTATGTTTAGTCTGACAGAAAGATTTTGGTGTTTGCATGAATTTAAATAATCAACTCACTGTGTATTGAACAACAGTGAGTGAAACATAACATATAACACCTTCACTGAAGGCTACAGCAAGAATCCTTTGCAGCTAAAAGTGAAATTATAACATCATTCAACATCACACATCATCTTCAAATGTAATTGAGCTGTGGCACTAATGAGACAACAATGCAGGCCTTGTCATAACAAGCAGAGGAGCAAAGAGCCCGAGCCTGCAGCTCTGTTAATAGCTCAATCAGGCATTGTCCTATCTGATTGGATTTATTGGCCTGGTGGCTTGCCGATGTTTAATGAACATCTATCTCATTAGTGCTGCTCAATGTCAGCTCTCAACACGCTCACACACACGCACGCACATGCATGCACGTACACACACACAAACACACACACAGTGTCAGGTTCCCTCCATCCTCTTTAATAAGGCCATTCTCCCTGCACATAGTGTTACTCAATGACAGTCAATCCTCATCTGGGTAAACGAAAGAGGAAACATGAGAGGGAATCTCTTCACTTCTATTGGGTCGGTTTTCAGCGTGAGAAATCCCTGGTGAAAGAGTCAATTTGCTGCAAGTGGAGATAAAGAATGAGCTTAATTAAAAGCACTTCTCTGATTACATATACCCTGGCTTGTCAAAGCCACTGTTTTGGTAACAGATAAGAAATAAAAACAGAGAGGAAAGCATCTTGCGCAGGCAACAGTCAGAGTCTGAGCCTCAGCAGGCGGCTCTCAACAGTCACCATCTAATATATTAATGCTGTCAGTACAGTCTCTGTGAAGCTAACACTTTTCAGAAACAAAGGCGCTCCGCATGCCATACCCAATTCTCTTGTTCCAGGATCAATATGTTTTGATAGATTCTCGCTCCAGAGCCGGATATTGTTCGAACAACCATTATCCAATGGTAGTTTACCCAACATGAATCCACCTTCCTTCTGTTTCCCACTTGCAGTTAGGATGACAAAAGTCTGCTATCTGGGTGATTATGGGCAATTTCTCAGTGCCAGAGCTGCCAAGCAGATAGAATATCCTATTCTCCCCTGATGGGCAGAGAGGCTGGGTACCACATTCAGTCCAGAATGGGGCCGTTTCCCATCCAGAGCCCAACACACACCCAGTTTTTTGTGTCTGTGTGGCCCCTAGGAGACCACTTCTCAACACTCAGCTGTCAGGCCTGCCAAGCACTGTACAGCAGCTTTCCAACAGCACCTATGGAGAGGAGGACTGAGAGCATCAGGCGAAAAGGCAGAAGGGGGAACTGCTTGTAAATCTAGATGAGTGATGCTGGCGATTCTTGGAGTGAACACTGGTTGTGTGGCTGCAGAGTTGAGTTAATTATGTTAATGCTAAATTTATTCTAATCTCTGATTTTGATGTGTGCATGTACAGTGTCTTCCCCCTCAGATAGAGATTATAATCACTTTAAAACTGGCACAACAAAAAGCCTAAAGACCGAGAGCTTGTGCATGCTTTTAAAAAAAAAATCTCCAAAGGGCTTTCTCTTGGCTGCAGCTGCCTGCTTCTCCAAAGCTGCCTGTAATGATAAATAAATCAGGACTACATCTGATAATTGTGGAGTTGTCTTTTTAATGTTATTCCCTTCTATGTGAGACAGTCTTTGCTGTCAAGCTTGGCAATCTCATTTTGTTTGGCTCAAAGATGAAATGTTCAAAGAGTGTCTTTGATTACACGCTGTTTCGATTCAAGATAAAATTTAGTTTAAAACAGAAGATTAAAAATATGACACTTGTAGCTAGCAAATGCGTCACTTTTGTTATTGTCCTTTGAGGATTCTTTGAGCCCCCAAATTATTAATTCATTTTTTTAAAAATGAATGCCAAATGTCCTTTTGAATGCTCTCAGAAGCGTCAGACATTGTCATTGGTTATGCACTGTTGTCGTGTATCAAAGCAAATGTTGAGAGTGACGAATCCTACACAATGTGTGTGATTACTCCTGCCACCAACAATCAACTCTATGCTTTCTTTATTCCTTTAACAGCTGAGAAACACAAACAGGTATTCAGTCGTCTTTCAGTCCTGATATTTCTCCCTGAGATCTCTTCGTGCTTCGTGGCTTTAAACCCATGTGACCTCGTACCTCTTAAACTGTGATCGCATGTGTGTCGGAGTGGGTGCAGGCGTTCTGCACCATGCAGGGTTATCACAGTGACACGCCTGTCACCTAGGAGCACCAGGCTCGGGAGTATGGTGGGCTCTTCGCACCAGTCAGCCTGCTCTGCACCCTGTGCAGAACTGCAGACACACCATGCAAAACAGAAGCAGATAGCTGACAATTGGAGTTAAAGCCTCGTGAACTTAAGTCACTGTGGAGGAGTCAAAACAGCACTTGCCTTGCCACGTCTAAAGGCTGCTTTACTGTGGACACAACACACGCTGACAATGTACTTTTATTGGTTTTATTCCAAACAATTCAATTCAACATTTAAAGAGTAATTTTGTCGGATTTTGCAGCATCCTCTCTCGTGTAGCACCTGTGTAAATTCACTTTGACGTGCTCCAATGCAGACGTAATTTGAAAAAGGTTTCATGTGAATAAATGAAATTTAAGATGTCGCTCCTTGTGTATTCATGGAGATTTCAGCCATGGTACAAACACACTCCTGGCCCAAAGCTCTCAATGAAATATGTGTTCGTGTATTTCTAAACTCACTTCCTTAGAAAATGCATTTAAAGAAATCTACTGTGAAAAATATCTCAGAGCGATACTTCTGATAACATATCTTTTCCTCCATGGGTATGACTGCAGCGATTCCACTTTAACTAATATGAATGAATGGGTACATGAAGAGATGAGAGTGATGTGTTATATCCTTCATCAAAAGAGTAAAGTACTGGCACTTTTTTAATGCTACTGTGTATTTCAGGCACATTTCTGCGGGAAATGTTCAGCAGGATGAAACATGAATCGCTTTGCATGTCTGTGAAAGAAAAGTTCTCCGCTTTTTCACAAAGATTGGATTTGATCTCAGTCAGTGTGTTTTCACTCTCAGACTGAGACACAGCACAGAATTCAGCTGCAAACCAGCTACATTCATACACTCATCAGACATATATTCCTGTTGGTGACATCTGCTTCACTTGTCTCAACATCCTAGGTTATAAAATTGTGTATATTTGTCAGTCCATTGTGATTCTGTGTTTTTCTGAAGAAAATAAGTGTCAGGCAGCACACACAAGTACGACTTAGCAATTAATTCAACATTATCGTTAATGGATTTCAGACCTGAAATAAAAAAGTGTATAATGAATTATGGATACCTTTAATTTATTTACGATAAAAAGTGACTGTTGGGTTGTGTGTTCAAAAAGCGTGATGGTAGAGAATTGGTTTTTATTACATTTGCTTATAGTTAGTAAAGACAATGTAAGTAAAGTAAGTTACACTACAGCCACAAAAATGTCCCGGATGATACAATTAAATCCAATAGATAAAAACGTCCAGTGTAACATAACATAACTGATGATATTTTGATGATAGTATATTTAAAAAGGGAAAACTCTTGTGATACTATGGATGTTTCTCTGCATGTGTTTGTGTCCCATAGTCTCTCCTGGTGGCACAGCAGCTGGCAAATGCAGTAGGTGGTGTGATGTCTGGGGCAGCGCCGGGCATGAACCAGCCCATCCTCATCCCCTTCAACGCAGGTGGACACCTGGGCGGGCAGCAGGGCCTGGTCCTCTCCCTGCCCACAGCCAACATCCAGAGCCTGGTGGCTGCTGCTGCTGCAGGGGGCATCATGACGCTCCCCCTCCAGAACCTGCAAGGTAAGCATGAGGGCACAGAAGAAATACAGCAGCAGAAACAAAATCTGTAAACATAACACACACTACGCCAGTTAGTTTACTTTGTACATTACATGTGAGTGTACAGACTCATGTATTCAATTTGTAGGATGTAGTGTTGACATATCACAGGGAGAAAATGGAAAATAACATATTCCTTAAATTCATTGTTGCATGGTCATGTATAACTGGTGTTTCCTTTTATTATACATGATAATCCATTGAACCAGCACTATTATCAATAAATATAACAAATTTTGAGAGTTAGTTCCACTTCCACTGTATGACATGGAACAGATTTTCGTTTCCTGTGTAATAAAAATGCTTTACAAAGCTTCACTGCAGGTCAGAATCCTTCAGGGGTTTGTATCCCAAAAAGCTGCTATCCTCAACTTGCCCAGAGGAACAACCATATTAATTACAGGTCAATGTTTTGCAGTGCAGCGCAAAAGCACTTTATGCCTCTTTTCTGTGCATAAGAGTGCACTGTACTTTACTTTTTTATCTCTTTTCCACCTCATCTGTCCATCCACATGGCTGTGCTTATCCTTGCCTTTTAAACTTTAATGCCCAAGTGTTCTCTTTTGATCATAGTTGTAAATGGTTTTCATTTTAATGTTTAAAACATTGTCTCTTTTATACCATTAGATTGAGGGATGGATGGGGAAACAGTCAGTCATAAATCTTGGATGAGAGCGCCACACTAATGTAAAAAGATGCCAGGCTACATGTAAAGCAGTGTGTTTTTAGGATGGAGATTACAATAATGACAGTGCAGCACAAAGTGCAGGGAAGGCTCCCTTCATGTGCGGAAATGGATAGACAGATGCCCTGAGTGAGGAAATGTGGAGGTAGAAGCCTAATGGACACAAACATGCATAAATAACAGCTGCCATCGCTGTGGGCAGAGCTTTTAATAAACCCGCATCTATCTAGCGAGCCCTTCAATGTATCCGTCAGTCGTGGACGATAATGGGCCCAGCAGGCCCGTCTCACTCACACTTCAACAGATCTTCCTCCTGGTGCATGAGGGACAACCCAGAGGCTTCAGTGATCTGATGAACTGATCGACAAACACATTGTCAGGGTGTCAGAATGCCAAAACAAACACCTCTCAGTCATTCTTATTGTCCACTGCCAAACAAACCAACAGACCGTCTGGAATCGTATGTCCTGATAAAAATCCCCATCCATGAGAGATGGTGAAAAAAACTGTTGTGGAGAAATGCCTCTGTGGCAGATCTTTTTTTAAGAGTGTGGACTGACAGACTGCCTGTTCGCACGTCCTCTTATCTGAAGGGGATGCATTGAAGGGACCTCCATGGAGAGAAAGTGACACAAGTCACGAGTGAAGCTAAATGTCTTGACTGTGTCCGGGCCCCTCTGGCCACACAGCGCTCCTCCACTCTCCCCTGTCTGAGTTCATCACAGCTCCTCTGAATGAGGCCTGCTGGCACAGCACCTCTGTCAGACAACTGCAACTCTGGCCTCTGCCCCCGCGTCCCCCCTCACCACCCCTCCCAGCTCCTCCGGGTCCCCAGGCCTGATTAATCACACATATAATCCAGTGCTGCGCTGTCGCCGGGGAGCAGTCAGCTCATTTCACGACCTCAGGAACAAGTGTGCTTTACAGCACTCACGCTGTGAGCTTATTAGCGTCAGATCAGACACAAGACAACTGTGAGGCTCAGTAATGAGACTCCAGGAGGAGCCCAGGCAATGGCTGTATTTAAATGTAATGAGGCGGCTAATGACCAACTAATAAGGCCGTTTGTCTTGGGGAATAGATGGTTAAGGGGGGAGGAACTGTGTACTTAACATGCTGGTCGTCACATATTCCTCCGAATTTTAGCCTTTGCAAGATTTAAGAATTTCAGACCAAACTGTTTTTGCTTATTATTGAGATTCATGAGGGAAATTAAATGACAACAGCATCTTTGATCACATGTTTTGATTGTGCTAATCAAAGCTGTGCTTTGTAAAAGTACATTTTGACAGAAGGGAACCGGCTGCTCTATTGTGAGTTTGAGGATGGCAGCTCTCTCAGACTGTGATGAATAACTATCACTGTAATGGGGCTGTGCTATAAAGTTGGAGCGGTTGCTTAAATAAAACTGAGCAGCATCTTGTGGCAGACTCAGTAAACACAGGCACCAGTGTAACTGGTTATTTGTCAGAATGATTTATGCCCGCAAACATGCAGTAAAAACAAATTCCCAATGAAACTAAACAAGGGAGAAAGTTATCTTTTGTGACAGAGTGCACACAATTCTAGCTGACTTCACAGAGGCAAAACTAGGTTGGGTCATGCTAGAGGTCTATTTGTGTGACAGCTCATATGAATAAAAAAATCATACATGATTTTCACACTGGTATGTGTGACTGATGCAGACAAAACAACTACAGATGTTGTTAGATATGGTGCTAACTTGAGGCTGAATTTTTAAGAGGTTTTCATTTTACATGATTGTATGAGCAGCATAGCATGATTATCATACTTGTAAAATTAGTTGTAACAAAGCACTGTACATGTAATGCTCAATGGGAGGAAGCAGAACAAAGTCTCATCTGTCTACTCCTCTTCTCTGTGACTCACTCAAAGGTAATGCAAGAAGCTAGTTTACTGGAGCTCTTTCATATTAATAAGCATATCCCATCTTATTTGCTCTCAGCAGAAACCCTGGCAGCGCATCACATCAGAGAGTTGAGTTCTAATGGTGAGGTGAGAGCATTGTTCCTCTGTACTCGTCCGCAGGAAACACAAAACAGCACTCAGGCTTCCCGATAAAGGTCGGCATCCCACTCACCTGCAGTAATGAGACCCGGTGTCAGTGCCAATCAAAGGCATGTCTGTCGTTTTGATGAAAATGCTCAGCGGTGTCGTTCCCAGGTTGTGCTTGTTGGCGTCATACAAATTAGGGAAATCACTCTGCTCATTACACCACCAAAGGGTGGGCTCCTGGGGGAAGAGCCAAATGTTTCCACACTAGTTAAACACATCAGACTGCATCTCTTCTGCCTCGGCTGACTGCTGCTCCTTTAAGAGGTTAGATCACCGGGGCCGAGCCACTGACTTAACCTCTGTCTGCTGTGGGAAAGCTCCTCCGTCCCTTTACCCTTTATATTATCGAAGCTTGTTGTAGCCACACTAGTTGCTCATTGTGGGATTCGTTTCCTTCTTGTGTGTATTTGTTGAATTATTTTGGGATAAGACAAGAGATGGACTATTGTTTGTGAGTACATTAAGAGGACCCAGTGTAAGAAATTTCCTCCCATCAACATCTGCCATCTTAACACAATAGAGGCCGGCCCCATCCCTTCTCCCTCATCGCTGTTTAATTTGAAGTGTTCGCGAGCCATATGTATTCCACGTCATTCTTTAATGATTTAACTTTGCTGTGGTTGTAAGATGACTCGCAGGGGAGAGAGCTGCATTAAATAAATAACAGTGATAAAATGTAGACCTCATACATTTCAAAGCTAATGCAACTAGCGGTGCAATAGGAGCAGCTGCACACAGTCCTGGAGCGGTAATTTGATTGATTTGTTGTGACAGCAGCCAAATAATTGAGAGTGAGAGGTGCTGCTGGAGATGAAGCGCAGGCTGAGGCAGGTTCGCCAGGCAGTCCCAGCAGATATGGCACCCGGGTTCTCATCTCCGCCATTGATATCTGCCAGTGGTTTATTGTTTGTCTTCAATAAGCAGCTTGGAAACGTGGAGGGGGGGGGCGTTAGTGCCTTTGTGACAGTTTGGCGACGGAAATAAAAAAAAAATCACCAATCAAAATGTACAGAGCAGTGATGAGAGGGTTACACACAATCAAACACACAAATTTAAAGTCAGGCTGACGCGCAGGTTTACTGTACATGCACGTATGAACACAGACACACTCCCATGAGACTCGTGATTTAGACTCTGATGTCTTTTTTGAAGCTGAGATGTGAGTAAATTTTACCCCCTGGTGTTTCTCACTTGTTGCAGACATGCTAATGATTTGTTCTGAATTCAAGTTACATATATTTCATAATTGCACACAAATAAGTACAAATGATGCACAGTGCACTGGATTATATATATATATTTTAAATGTGTATCCCAAGATATTTTATGTGTTCTGCCTGGTAGCGCTGTTTGTCGTAACCTGCTGACTTTTGACTCATGTTTTGTTTCTGTGGATGGTGGCGGTGTCTCTCTGGCTCAGTCATACCACAGGACAGCACGCAGCCAGAGCCTGAAATAGAAAGACAGAAAAGAAAAGGAAAAAAGAAAGGGGGGGAGAGGGGGGTCTTTATGGTGGTGTGGAGAAGGACAATAATATTGTTAATCAGATGTGGCTGTGTCTGCTCCTCCAAAGCAAACCTTGACATCTGCCCTCACTGGTAAACAGAGGAGACTTTTTGCAAACCTGCCATAAATAAACAGAGTACAAGATAGTCTATCCACATTAAACAGTGTCTGTCTGCAATGTGTATGCAGAGTGTAATGCATTTACTTAAATAGATTTTGTTGGAGTGTATAAGAAGAGGCATCGTTTTCTGAATTAGTTTGAATTCAGATATGGCAGTTTTCATAATTAGCTTCCAGTTACGTGAATAATTAGAAACAGGCTCAATGATTCCTTTTTAATCCACCTGTTTTTTATTCCCTCAGCGCCTGAGCTACAACAGATTTACCTCTGCTTGATGTAATTAAGGTGTTAAATGTGTAATATTGTGTCCATTTAACCAAATTACAGGTTATCATTGAAAATATTATGGCACACAGGGAGCACATATCTCCACCAATAGTCTCCTTACAAAAACATATTTAAATTCACTAGTTCTGGATTTTTATTTTAATCACACTCATAAATATTAGTGCCCTAAACAAATTAAATCCTAAATCCTTCTACTTAGTTCAGTGGGAATCTGTCAAGTAGTTTTTGCATAATCCTGCTAACTAACAGACCTCCTTGGTGCAGGTGATTATGAAGGTGTGTTTT